AAAATCTTGAAAATGAATTCAGTCACCTCTCTCTTATTTTGCATACAGAATAAACATTGAAACTAGTCCAATTTGCCTGCATTTTCCGTCAATAATACTATAAACAGCTTTAGACTAACTGAAACAACAAAAAACATGTAAAAGTGAAATTGTTGGGTAAACCTTACGAAAATATTAATATTATAATCGATAAAACATTACAGAACCTTAAGCTTCATATTTTAATTAAATTACTAAGAGGCCAAATCATTGCTGTTACAAAGAAAATTATGAATGCGCGAAAATACCTAAAAAGACTCATGATGAGCCTTAGCGCTTTTTGAAAGCGAGAATCTGGCATGAATACGTCCAAGAAAGAAATTCACTCAGCTGCCTGAATTTCCAAGGATTTCACTTAGAAATAAATTCCTGTTTCGCCTCGTTGCGATCGCTACGACGCTGCCTCTCAAGTGCCAGACGGCGGCTGCGTTAACAAATGAAACTGCCACTAAAGTAACATTAAAAGAGAGGAACCATAACAAAAAATACTATAATATCACTGGCTTGAATAGTAGATAACAACTAGACAACTACCTAAACTCTAGAGCAGACCTATATCATTGCCTATGGCAATTACCACAACCAAAATCCTAGCTTATGTAGGTTAGGCTCAGCCTTTAATAAAAAAATTAAATGTGAATAAATGCAAAAATTGTATTAACGGGCGTGGGTTGACAACAAAACTAGAGATGAGACAACAGTCACATTCTTAAGCGTAAAAATATCAAAGCTCTTAGCTAAGTAAGACACATTTTATGGGATAGTGAAGTGTGCAAATACCAAGGAAAAGGGACCAAGGACGTGAAAATCTATCCTAAGATTTGCTCTACTTACTTAACAAAACATTTGCAGTAAATTTTGCTGGAGATTACTAAACTCACACTGAATTACGGAATGGCCAGCCTCCATACTCTCGAATTTTTAAAAGTGTGTACGATCGTTAAAAAAACATCGGCTTAGCAATACAACTCATATATACATCGGAATCAGGATAGTTCATTAGACACACCTGTAATAATATTTACAGGGAAATGATTTTTAGCATCAAAGAAACAAGCTTTTGATAAATAAATGTATGGAACAACATATCAAGCTCATGCAAACTGGCATATGTGGTACAAAAACTCGGCTCACAATAGTAATATAATTTCCTCCAGATTATTCAAGTGATTTATTCTGTACTTGGGACAAGGCCTAACATGTCGGATACTTTCGATTTCTAGCCCATGTACGTAATCTACTCAGTACATCAACACCAGCATCAAAGTTGAAGATCTTCTACTAGAACGGATCTAAATAAATTGAGTAGATTGAAGAAAACTACAAGAGGAAGACATCTCGTGGAGTATTTTTGCTACGTGCACTATCGTCAATTAGATATGACCACACACTGTACCGTAAACAACGAAACTATCAGCAATTCCAAAATTCATGTTTCTGATTATCGGAGACCTGACTTCGAAGAAGAGTTTTAGCCGTTATACCTAACTTCGTCTAATGAAGAGATTGACATTCCAGAGAAGTGTTACCAGGCCATCGTCGAATTGAAACATTTTAAATTAAAAAGTAAATGGAGACAAAGAATTAAACGTGCGTTCATCTAATGCAATAAGAAGAGTTCCATTTACAGATCAATTTGCACGGTAATAATTGCGTTAAAAATTCTTCTCTAGGGTAGAAAAATAACTAAAATAAAAAATTTTCAACATGAAATCTTATTTTGCACACCCAATACCTCAGAAAATCTCAAAAGTTCCCTCTCTTTAGATAATTCCTTTCAGTAGCTATATACACGCAAGCTCGTACTGTCAAAAAATCGATAAGAGAAAATGTGACTTTATTTGAGACGAAGTTGTTCACTCGCTTAGAATGTTATTTCCAAAACGGAATGTGAATTCTCACAATATTACAGGATTATCGAACCGTGAATTCATTAACAGAATTCAAAGAAATGAGCCCGTTTCTGTGCAGGCCGTCTGCCGGGAAGCCGCGTATGATTTCGATAACTAAAGAGAAATATATTTAGAGTTTAAAGAACTTTTGCCGGAATTTAGCGTTGAAATTTCAAGTAAACACCCGAATTTTACTGTCGCTGTGAGACTAAATTTCCATTCTTATAACTTGATCTGTCAATTACGCCTCGAAAGCCAAATTAGCTCTCATTGACCTTCAAATTTGTTACAACTGACTTTAAAATTAACTATCATTGACCTTCAAATTAGCTGTCATTGACCTAGCATTAGCATTGAGGAACATTAAGTCAAACGCAGCCCAAGATTAGGGGAAGCATTAGCTGCAAGTTGAAACCAACAGCATTAATTGTCGCTGTAAAATGCTACGCTACGAAGAGATTGATTGCCACCAGTAGCTATAGTTTCTTGAATCAGTAAAACACCAAGACAGTATAACAAAAAACATAAAAATGCACTGTTTATAAATGAATAACCAACGATAAATGTGAATGAAACACCAGGTTGTGTTGTACTCCAAAAGTAAATGACGACCATTTTTCTGCATTAAAGCAGGGAAATATAAAATTAACTTCTTGTAAAAATTGAAAAACTTAAAGGATACAGGAAAAATTATTGAGAATAAAAATGGTAAACGGAAACTACGCACTTTGCAAAAAATGAATACAAGCAATGGCGTCATGAAAGATCTATTAGTATACCAAAAGCAGTACGATGAAAAAAAAATTAATTCGGCGAAAATCATAATTTAAAAAAAAAAAAAAAATACTTCTGATGAGGTAGACAAAAATTATCGCAACGTTTATTAGACCTAAAACTAGGCATTGATACTCACTTAATTTTCCTTATAAATTAGGTTTATATTGATTAAATCCATTCTAAGTTTAGCACGTAATATTAAACTAGAAGCTATCAAGTGGTAAGATACATTATCATCAGCATTTGATACAACGCATACAGGTCAATGAAATGCGCACTCAGGAAAATTAAAGGGCCAAGTTGTCCAAACAGTGACACACTTTTTTGCACGCATCACTGATACGTATATTTGCCGAGCCCAACTTGTCTATGATGACCTACTCAAGGGTCAAAAGTGAATAACAACTTGGACAAAATCTCACTTATTTCTCTGAGTTATGCATGTGCAAACATGGAGCTCTCAACGAGTCAGCAAGCAGTGATTTTTTCCACATCAAACGCAGCACAAAATAATTTGAATGAAATACGCGCGAGACGGACCAGAAGGAAGCACAAAACTTAGGCTCTCCACAGATACGACGGGGAAACTTAAGCTCTCCACAGATACGACGGGGAAACTTAAGCTCTCCATAGATATGACAGGGAAACTTAAGCTCTCCACAGATACGACAGGGAAACTTGAGCTCTCCACAGATACGACGGGGAAACTTAAGCTCTCCACAGACACGACGGGGAAACTTAAGCTTTCCACAGACACGAAGGGGAAACTTAAGCTCTCCGCAGACACGACGGGGAAACTTAAGCTCTCCACAGACATGACGGGGAAACTTGAGCTCTCCACAGATACGACAGGGAAACTTAAGCTCTCCACAGACATGACGGGGAAACTTAAGCTCTTCACAGATACGACAGGGAAACTTGTGTTCTCCACAGACACGACGGGGAAACTTAAGCTCTCTGCAGACACGACGGGGGAACTTAAGCTCTCTGCAGATACGACGAAGAAACTCAGGCTTTAAACAAGTACACTGCTTTTTCGCAGTAATCAGGAGCTCAGAACGAAAGCTCAAAGCAAACTCTTAGAAGAGCATTGACAACGTTATTAATACTTACAATACAACATCAACACCGACAGTTATATTAAACATTCAATAATGTTTCTCATAATTATTTTAATTCTAGGCGCTCAATTTGCAAATACGTTGCTTGCAGAATATCTAATTTGCCAGCTGGGCAGCCATTGCCCTAAACACTGCACTCATTTTGAGTCACTGCGGTATTAACTTGGACCACCAAATTCTTAGAGCTACACCAACTTTAAGTTGAAAATTCAGCATAGTTCAGCTTATTTATCAAGACCTGCATACGACGAACTACTATAAGTAAGGTTGCCCTTTGAAGCAACGGCGATTGCATAGAGAATGTTCAGCTTCTACGAGACGAAGCTTGAATACAGGAGACGATTGAACGCTCTCCACGTCACACGGTACGTCACACGGTACGTCACACGGCCCGTCACACGGTACGTCACACTCACCACTATTTTCATCATGACGAACCTAAAATTTCCCGAATCAATTTATCATAATTCACACAAACAGAATTCGTTGAATTTTACTCATTTTCATTCCTGAGAAGGGTTAAATTTTCTGCTGAGCTCTTTATTAGCAGGAACAGCAAAATTGATCAAATTAACATGGTTAGGAAAACATGCTTGACAACGTCGCCTATCGTCGTAAACAAACAAACAAACGATCAAACGATTAACGGCGTAAATGATTATAAAAATCAATATACCTACTCATTAAACTCAATCGGCACGAATGTCCAGCAAATACATTGCATTCATTTCTTACAAGTAATAACTTTGCTCTAGTTAAAACGATTTAGTTTAAAGCTATAAAAAGTTAAAGACGTATACAAAGGAACTGTAAACCCACATAGGAACGGCTAAGGATATTAAGTCGGTGGTGTCGATGGCAGTAAGGAAATTCTGGACATTCAAATATTTGCAGCAGCAATATCAGTAACAGGGCGAGACTTAAGAGAGATGAAAAACATTTCCTTTATTTATGAACCCAGATAAATAAAGAGAAAGCAGCTTTAGCTAAAGAATACGAGAGCTCTTAATAGACGTAGAAGTAGAGAGAAGAAAAGGAACAATATGAATTGAAGTGACCTGAATTTCCGATAAATATTTTAGAGGTCCACGCAAACTATACAAAAAGCTCATCGAGTTTAACAAATTTAGTAATTTTTCAAGGATTTTGCATTTAAAACTAAAAGGTCTAGAAAAAACTAATAAACAAGCATAAGCAAAAATCAGTAAAAAAACATTTCACACTTTTACAAATAAAGTTTACCATGATACAACTGGAAAAATGGAAATTTGACAATAGAAACCAACTTATTAGCTAGTTTTGCGGTGAAGTTTCACCAAGAACCTCATATGATGGAGAATTTTTTTCAAAAATACTCTGCTCACATGTACCATACCTAGCAAACAAACTTAATTTATATTGTAATGAATATATAAGAATGAAGCTAGTTCACGCTATTGTTTTGTAAAATTGGAAGGGGACATTGTCACAACAATAATTGTTGATGTGGACGCTACTTCCACATCGCGCTGGTCTAGCAAGTATTGAACAGATATATAACAAACAAATCCTCCATTTTTAATAGGTAGAAAATCTAAGGAACCTATTTGAATTTGCTCATAAAAAATCTATTACAAACTTATAGCAAACGCCATTTACCTACCGTGAACTTTTAGAACTCAGACTAGTAGTATGTACAGTTAAGATTTTCTAAGCTTATGGAACCATCACCTCTGGAGCGAAGACATTGCACATTTGTTTCATATTCATGAAGAATGAGGATTGCAATGCACAAAAGTACGCATTGTATTGCTTAAAGAAGTCCTATTGAGTTGTAGGAAGAGTCACAATGTTGTGGCAAGACGTATTATTTAGACTCCCAATACCCTTATTTTAAAAAAACTTATGGGTGAGGCTGCTTTTTTAATTGGTACACTCAATTGCACCTCAAGAAATGGACTCGTCAGCTTAGTCCCGCAGAATATCAGTACAAAAATCCACCCTCATTTTAAATAGCTACTCTTCTAGTGGTGGGGGTATTGGATGTGCTTTGGTTGGCCGTGAATAACCCGACAAAAATGAGTTGATTTTCAATAATTTTCATCATGCGTCAACAAATTTGTTACCGCCACTGATCTGCTCCAAACGCTTTGAAATTTCTTGCCAGGAGTCACTGATTGCGAGTCCATTTTGGACCGATCCAAAACTCGCCATTTCAATGGGATGAAAATATGACATTTCAGCATGCGCTCCTCCACCCGTACGTCAATGCTGTAGCTGTAAAACAGAAGAAATTTCATGCTTATTGAGTATTCTGGAAGGCAAGAAAATTTCTATACAACTTGGATTTTTTATACAAAGCATTTAAGGGTGTCACTTTTTCACAAATTCTGCTTTTATAAATAGAAACGAAAATGAAAAGTTTCATAATTGTTAACAATTGATTAAATTAAAAACTAATTTAATTTATGTGCAAGAATACAAACCTGCTAATTATTTCAGTGATAGCCGTTTGCATAGGCCGCTATAAGCGTTCCCTGTTGGGGAGAAGGAAGCAAGTTTTAGCGAGGGCAAATCATGTTCTTATTGAAAAGGAAAATTGTACAGACCTAAGGAACGTTGTATACTGGATGTGTTCGGTTCCGACACTCATTCAATTTCAGCGAATTTATGAAAACATTGTTTTTATTGTGACCATTACCATTTAAGGAAGCATTTAAGTTATTTGTAGTCAAACTCAAAATATTTTTGCATCATCAGTACGGTAAAATGACCAACCCTATTAACTGCCATTTGAAATGAGGTAGACATATACTGGCACAATAATTATATAATGGCACGCCCATAACGGCCAAATGATCAACTTAATTAACTGCCATTTGAAATGAGGTAGACATTTAATGGCACAATAATTTAATAATGGCACGGCCAATACGGCCAAATGACCAACCCTATTAACTGCCATTTGAAATGAGGTAGACATATAATGGCACGGCCATTACGGCCAAATGACCAACCCTATTAACTGCCATTTGAAATGAGGTAGGCTGAGGTGACGCTGACTGCACGTAGCCGACGCCTGAGTCTGCCTGGGGGCTGAACACGTCCATGGGCCCGGGGGACCCCGTCGTGGCGAACCCCCTGCTGGTGGCGGGGGATGTGGGGGGGCCGTAGCCTTGAGGGAAGCTGCTCATTACTGTGTGGAATAAAACAAAGATAACATGTATGATAAAATAAAGTAGAGATACAGGATAAGAAAATATATAAGATAAAATATATAAATATATATGTTCATGAATTTTCGTACAATATATAGCGTATGAAATATGAATGAGGAGTGAATAGTGCGTGGAGTCTTACCGTCAATAAAGTCTTGGTAGTAGCTGGGCTGGAGGTCAGACTGTGGCCCCATCATCGCGTCTGCAGGGCAACAAAATAGTTAGTTGAATTAATGGGAACTTTACTAGGTAATGGTGACATAATAATAATGTGATAATAGTGCATTAATGATGAGATAATGGTGCGTTAATAGTGCAATAATGGTGCGTTAATAGTGCCGCTTATGGTGAGTTAATGCGGTAACGTTGCATTTATGGTGTGGCAATGGTAAGTAATGGGGAGTGAATATGTAGTAATGGTGGGCTAATAGAGAGGTAATGGTGAAACAATGACGAAACAATGAGGTTGTGAATGAGAAGAATAACTTGAGTACGTGGTTATGGATGAAAGAATGAATAGGAGTATACGAGGGTGAGATGAATACACAGGTAAGTAATTAATGATTTAAAGGTAAGTAATTGCAGAGTAAGGTGATATTAACGGCCCCAGGGGGCAGGTCAAGGTGCTCAAGGAAGTAATCTAATGACCGCACGAAGTGTTGAAAGGGGCAAAAAAATTATAGCAAATGTTGAAATGGCTGTAAGAAGTTTTTAAATGGCTGGAGGAGTGTGAATAGCTGAATGTAGTGCAAAAATGGCTAAAATGGCTAAGGGAATTGTGAAAATAGCAGAAGAAAGTATCCATATGGCTGAAGGAAATCTGCGAATGGCCGAAGGACGAGTTCATATGGCTGGAGATATGTGCTCATATGGCTGGAGGAAGTGTCCATATGGCTGGGGGATGTGTTCATATAGCTGGAGGAAGTGTCCATATGGCTGGGGGATGTGTTCATATAGCTGGAGGAAGTGTTCATATGGCTGTGGAAGTGCTCATATAGCTAGAGGAAGTGCTCATATGGCTGGAGGAAGTGCTCATATAGCTAGAGGAAGCGTTCATATGGCTGGAGGAAGTGTTAATATGGCTAGAGGAAGTGTCCCTATGGCTGGAGGAAGTGTTCAGACGGCTAAGACAATGGACATTGAGGCCCTCAAGACGCGGCTGTAGCTCCTCTAAGACAATATTGTCACACAAGGGAGGAAGGTCTTGAGAACGCAGCGCTCTCTGCGCTCGTTCATCAAGAGCTTTAATCCTTATTGAATTTCACGGCAAGATTTGACGCGATCTTTCAGCAGCTGATGGTTGGCCGACCCGAAACCACCTCTGACTAAAATTAGGAGTAGTCTTTAGCAGCGCTAACAACGTACGTGAATTTCGGTAATGGCGTTGCTTCAGCTGCGCAATGACAGGATTTGCTCCAAGACTAACGTCATAATCCGAAGTTTATTTTTAATTCCTTGATAATTCCGGCACTGGCGCTGAATCAAGATTTGTGTTGTAGTTTAAAATAATTGATAAGAATTAGTTTCCATATGCACACAGATAAGGAAGTATTTTTATAATGTAAAGAAGGCGAAGAAAATGCTTAAGTTAGGAATAATATTTTTGATTTTATTCGCCGAATCTTTCAGACCGTAGGCGATTTTTGTTTTTAAGATTGAGCTTTAAATAAACGATGTCCGATCGTTAGTAAAAGTTCGAATAAGTGAAGTATTAATTTTGAATGATGTTAAATAATATTTTTTTACATACATCAAAAATAAAAAAAAACTTATTATTTGCTGAGCGTGAGAAATAAATTCAGGTGCGCAAATAAATTTTTAATAAAATTCCAGCTGGAATTTACCATATGACTATGAAGTAAGTTACATCCCGCTGTAACATTGAGTTTGAATTGCCGATATCAAACGGCACGTTTCATCAGCTTTTTTCATCAGCACTCATTTCATTCACATTTCATTCATTTCCATATCATTCATTTTTCATTTTATTTTTAATTATAAATTTTTTGGAGGTGAAAAAATGCAAATATTTACCCAAAAATGCAAATATTTACGTTTGAAGTAATTTATGGAGAAACTAATTAAATTTTTTCGTCTCATTTATTTTTTGCAAAGTTGAGTTGAATTCAATTTGGGGGGGGGAAGGTTCAAAATTTCTTCAGGCGCATAATATTTGATTCTGCATACTAACCTGACGTACGCATCATAGCTGCAGAGTTCATGTGGTCGGCGCGGCTGTGCTGCACGCCTGCACCTGCAGGAACACCTGCTGCAGCTGCAGCGGCGGCGGCAGCAGCTGCACTCGACACCTGTACAGATGCAGCTGCAGCAGCTGCGGCGCGCTGGTCGCTCAGCGACGCGTCGTAGTAGCTGCCTAGACGGTCAGCCTGCACGTAAACAAAATACTCATAATTATGATTAAAAAATCTGTAAATGAAGCCGATTGTAACGCAAATAATACTCAAGTAATAATAATTTGTAGTCTCAGCGTTCATTTGGCAAAATATGGCTTTCGCTGATTCAAAACATGACCAAATTCAAAGTTTGCTAGGATCAAACCAGCTACTCAATGCTCCAATACTGGTACTTGACTTTAACCACTCGGCCACCCTATTTAATAATATTTTTATTTATTCGAAAGCTAGTTTGTTTTTCGCACAGAAAACGTAGGTCAAATAGCTCAGCAGATTCCCAAGCTGAAAAATATTGCGGGACAGAAACTGACGAGAATTAAAAAAAGACATAAATTCAATATTTTAGTGTAATAAGCTAATATAAACTCAATTAAATAACTCTAAAAGTCCACAATCAATTTAGTATTCAGTCGGATTTCCAAAGCTTACTCGTGACATAAATATTCAGATATCACACAGGATAGAGCAAAATTATTTTTACGATCAGATTCAGCAGGATTCCAAACCAATCCAAAATTTATCCGGATTAGCCCAGAAATTCTGCAGCACTGCAACCTACTGTGAGTGTTGGCGTTATTGGCGCAGTCGGCGTTAGGGTTGGCGTAGCCACGGCGCCGGTGTCGTAATACGCCGTGGCTTTAAAGCCATCGGCGTGAGTTGGCGTTTGTGGCGAGACTCCGGCTATGGCTGGAGTGCCGGGAGCCGCGGATGGGAAGTAACCGCAGCCTGCCGGGAATGTGCCGGCTGTAAAGCCGGCGTGAAACAACCAAACATTAATATGATGATTAACAAGTTGTGATCAACACCAAAGATGTAAAATAGAACTGGAAAGTGAAAGGATGTATAGGCAGTAGGTGGGCACGAAAGGATCAAGGTTTACAAGTATATAATTAAAAATTTAGTTTGTACTTCTGCAGAAATTGTATGGAAATTCTAAGCTTTGAAACATCTATCGGGTGATGAATATTAACTGCTTTGTATACATCGTGTATGTAAATTTTTAGTTTAATAGCTGACATGAAACCCGGATTAGGAATCAAGTATTTTGAAAAATAAATCGAGACGAGATGTATAGGCGAAGGTAGTGAGAGACTAAACGAACAGAGAACGAAATAGAGGGAAAAGAGAGGGCGAGAGAGCGAGAGAGAGAGAAAAAGAGACATCATTAAATGATAAGGCACGAAATAGTCATGTCGAAAATCGATTAAAAATTAATTTCAGTAATGGAAAATTTTCCTAATTACCAGATTTATTTTAAATTGGCAGAATTATCAGATTTACTCACTGCTGAAAATGATCAACAATGTCTCAAAAGTCATCTACAAAACATGGGAAACATTTTTCAAAATTTTCAAATCATCAACTGGGTTAAAATATTACGGAAGAATAATGCAAATTCGAACAAATAAATAACATTGATGAGACATTGTAAATAGCGAATGAAAAATACGAATTAAAACGAGGGTGGGGAGGGGAGAAGTATGCGAAATCAGGGATTGGGTAAGGGAGAGGGTGGGCAATGTGCACGCTTAGAACTTTCATTTGAATTTAAATATTATGAGGCTCATGCTATTTCGGGGAAAAATATTTAGCATGAAATTGACAATAAAAAATGAAGAGGGAATATGAGGAAGGTAATCGTTGATTCCGTTATGTTCTCGCCAAAAAAGTAAGTTTATTTGTTTCAAGTCGTCACAGTAACGTTCTAAATACTAATACGATCAAAAGAATATATAGGTGGGGTAATAACACAAGCCTCAACAATAATTAAAGGTGAAATGATGAAATATCAATGGGATAAATATGTTATAACATTGGGAAGACTTGTCTACATTTTGTACAGGGAAACATTAAGGGCGGGGAACAAAATTTTTACAATTAGGAGGTCGACAACAATCACTTAGAGTTAAGCTAAAGTTACTCAATTCTCAATCACTAAGCTAAGGGAAAATGTTCATTTCGGGAGCACAGTACAGGTAAAAATTTGTCTTTCATTACGAAAAATTTGTAACGAAATTCAGAAGCCGCAAAATGTCGTACGTCGAGACGCAGTTTACGCAAAAAGGTCTCAATGTTTTGCATCAAAATCATTTGCTGAAAACCCAACATTCTCACTAAGACAAACATATTTAATAATACGACGACAGTCTTATTCAAAAATAGTTGATCATAAATCCTGAATGGTTTGGTTGTCTAATTTTATCATTCCATTTACATGCCTGTTCTAAGCGTATATAAATATACGAAATCTTATACGTACTTTTTCCTGCAATTGAACATGATTGTCAATAATGACACTAGATATTCAATTAACAAATCTATACATAATGCAAGACACTATTAAGGCGTCAGGGACTATCATTCTCATTGTCCGACTGCCTTTACAATTACACAAAAAAATACATTTTCTTGGCCTTAAAATGCTCATTAAATCCTTACATATACCGACCATTAACGTTTATTACGATTTATCTATACTATAATGCAGTTAGAAATATAATATCTCTTAACTGCATCGTACAAAAATCACGTACGAAGTCAGTGGTGAAACTTCGTTGCTAGTTACAAAAAGTACTTGAACCGACAACAAGTTTCTTAAACTTAACCTTTATTAATGTAGGGGAAAAAATTTCGTCAGTTGTTTGCAAAGAAATTACTTGGAGTTACCACATCTAGAGTCCAGACAAGGACCAAAAATTTCAGTTGGTAAAAAGTTTGCTAATCCTACTGAGTGACAGCATTCATGTTACGAGTCTTGTTACTTACTTGCAAACAAGAACCCTGCTCGATCTTTCTCCACATCTATTTAAGATAGGCAACGGTCCGAGCTTAAGTTCACAAACTACGTAAATTTCCTTTGGCACAATTGATTGAGAAAAACTACAAAGAAAATATCCGTGGACAACACAACTCCATGTGACATCGTGTCTACCGTAAAAAATTAAATAAAATCCATTGGGATCGTTTGAAAACAAACTTTTGTCTACAAAAGACCACTCTGATAACGAAAACATTAACAGAAAACTAGCAGGCGTGGCACTAAGGCACGATTTTAGATCAGCCTCGGAAATGACGCGCTCATTAATGTCTCGGTTGCGTTATTTTGCTGCAAATGTTAATGAGGCACCAGGGAGGCGGGACACTGAGACGCATGGTAGCTAACTTGAACAGGAAAACTCTGATAGGTACAGCACGTTCTATTGAAGATGCTCAATGCAATAGGGAAATTGAAGATGGAGTAACTCTCTAGATTTAAAGTATGCAACTGCTAATGTACGATAAAGCAAGCACGTTTATTCCCACAAGATAAGACCTTCTAAGTCTTGCATTTCAATCACACCAACGTATGTTACCGCCGATTCGGGGCGGCAGAGATGTCGACATCCGCAAGGTGCGTAGTAACGCAACTTCGCGTGAAAGTAGCCTTTTGACTAGACACTTTCGCCCCGAGTCGAAGGTAGTAACATTATGTGGATAAATCTCATTGAAAATCATAGGGGTTCAAGAGCAACCGACCATCGAAATTTCAGTTTCCTAAGATTTTCAATAAGAGGGTGCACGACTGAGAAGACTCTTATGGTGATGCTATTGGTGGTGGAAATGATCGAACAAGAATCGTCATGGCTGCTTACCATGCGCGACAAAATGTACGGCACGCAAGGGTTGAGGGGTTGGATGCAGCCCCTGGGACGCAGCAAGGGGTTTCATCGAGTCCCCATCGGGACAAGACACCACCGACGGGTTCAGATTTGCGCTGGTCCCACTCGATAGGCCTACCAAAACACGTAGGGAACTACCTTCAGAACTCAGTATTTGTCTTACTTATGTACAAAGCATTGCTTTATATATCTATAGACATAACAATTATTAATCAATATACGGGAATCGTTTCCGTTAATAGAGCCCATCTGAATGAAGTTAAATTGGGAACCATTTTTTTAAAGGGCGTACTGAGAGAGAAAGGTTACTCTGGCTGTGCTGATTTGCAAACATTCAAAGTTATGCTCTAAATGGATGAGAATTTTACAAAAGCGAATGGGTGCAACGTTTAATTTGATATTATAAAAAAATTTGCTCAGTTAGGTTGAATATCATTGTTCATTTGGAGGAAAGTTATTGTGAATAGGTTATTTAAATTAATTTCCAGTTGTTTGCAATTCGGCTACTTATAAATTTTGGGAAGCTCTTTAGGATTGTACGTTAATACGCAAAATAATTCATTCAAACATTAGAAATAGTATGCGGGGACGAGGTTTTACAGGAGATAGATAGTTTTTAGTACGTCATCTGCAACTATTAGAATCGCTAGTGTTTAGGGAAATGCTAGAGGACTAAAACGCCGACCCAAGGAGGATCTATACTCATGCCTTAGTTCACATGCTAGTCTACAATCAATAAAACCACTTTGGCCAGAAAATTACGTTGAAAACAATGTTACAATTAACAAAATGAGGCGGGGAAAAAAAACTTATCGTACAGTATATCATGAGATCTATGAGGAAAATAGAGAATTATAGCGGATATGGTTATATTTATTGGACAAACAAGCAGTACATAGAGACGAGTCGTACCGTTGTTGCTACAGAAACATCCTTTGTGGACTTCAACGCTCGATCAAGCAATCCAAGATTTCACAAAAAATGTAATTCCAATTCCAAGTTCTTTTGCTCTTCTCAGCAATGCGGTAAAAATTGCAGGTATGCAGAGCGCAAAAGTCAGATCCCATGGAGAAATGGTCGAATAACACTACAGTCTATTCACTAACTTCTAACACAGAAACGCTCTAAAGTACTCGAGGAAGAGAACTCACTTAATCCTCAAATAATTTGGCACTCGCATCAAAATGAAGACGAGGAAACTCTAATCGAGATCATTCTGATATCTCTACAAACTATCTAGTTGGCACAATAATGAAGAATCTCAAGTTCAAGCTACACTTTCATGAATTTAAATATTAGACTTTTTAAGCCAAATGACAATTAATGGAGAAGGAAGTCACGTCTATCACTAAATCTGTTTAAACTAGAAACTAATACAGAACTAATGCATCTCAAAAACAGAAGGAGGTACATCAAAATCGTTTGTGTTTTAATTAGTCAATAATAAATTCATATAAACATGTTTTGATATAACAACTTCGATAAAAGTTAGTAGACTTCATGACCAAATTATAGCGACTCGTAGATTTACATTCTTATTTCATATTATAAATGGACGAATAAACAGCATTAAGTGGCCGAGAAGCACTTGTAAATACATTCCCTTTTAGTCCTCTATCAATAAATTTCCCTCTTTGGCACGATTGCTTGGCCAGCACAAATCCGTGCACGTCATTCAATGAACTTTCGTTCTAATCAATGCTTGAGAAACAAAAAGCTATCGAAGTGATATAGAAGTTACTAGATTTAATATTGCTCTTGCTGTAAATAATTCACTTAATATTACAGTCTAAACGCTTTACAAGTGCTTGAATTATCTAAGAAAGCTTAGCCTACCTAGGAGCAAATATTATTATTAACCTTGCTAAAAATTGCATATAATTTAGCAAGAGATAAATAACATTTACTAAAAAATTCCAATCACACAATAGCAGAAATTATAAAATTTATCCTATCCAATAGTACAAGTTTTCATAGGGCAAACGTTTTGGCTCTGATGAATCATTTGCATGACGAATGAAAATACAGTTATTTAGTCTGAAATTGGACCAGTATCTCCGTAGCAGCAATCAATGGAGGCCGCGAGGACAATAAATAACAACTTCTGGAATTATTTTCACGATGAAATTCTCAGCTTTGCCGATAAAATGTTGAAATAAAAATTTCAAGAGCATGAAAATAATCATCTAAAGATATTTTGGTGCTGCAGACCCGCAGATTCTTGGACTCCGATCTGACGTTTGTAGAAGTACGAGGCCTCCATCATTCGGAAACTTAATTCTAAAACAGTATTTGTATCCGTACGATCAAAGTAGACTACAGGGAGATGAAAATATTTTTAAAATTTTCAAAAACTAAAAGTTCCCAGCTTTAATCAAAATATCCACGATACTCACCTCGCCATAATAACGAATACATTAAATCGAGAAGCGCAACGAGTTACAAGCAGTTTAATTCTGCCTAAGCAGCGTGAGTGACGAACAAGAAGTAAAATAGCTCATTAGCTACGAATCCTTGCAGTTGTAACCAATCTGAACAGGAACAACAGGAACGATTTAAGTTCACAAATCGTGATTTCGGTGACAAGAAACTTGTAACGCATTGAGGTTACTTCGAACTAATTTTCCTCTCACAAGCTCTGAAATTGCATTGAAATATCAAACTTGAACAATAACAACGAGTAATGGCAAAGCTAAACGAAGACGATTAAGAAGCATAACATAGGAAAGGCACTCAAGTCTGCAAGATATCGCGTAAATTAGCTATTGTTGTTCGTGGACGAGTCATTCGAACAACCAACATCAAGCAAAGTATTCAACTGCAATCAAGTCATAGAAAAACTTCAATACAAAAATAGATTCAAGTTTATCGGCACTTTGTTGCCGTCGTCATCCTTCGTTTCGGAATATTCGATTGAGTTTCCAGGTTCTCTTTCAATTCCATGTACTTGAGAACTCTTGTTTACCACAACTACAACTCCAAATGAACCTGAAAGTTTCAACACTCGGGAACTCTAGTAAACCTAACATGCAGTGCATCCCGCGGTATAGAGTGGATTTGCCAATGAATTAGAAGAGGGAATGGGAGATGTTATAATAAACTGTTTCAAAATAAATGACATATTTTGTTGGCTAAATATTACCGCTTTAACATATGATTCCTGATTTTCCTAAATGTAGGTGTTTACGTGCAAGAAAAATCAAGAAAACTTTCCAAACAGTGTCATTCAGTGACAGTCATTATTCTTATAACTCGTTAATATTTTCTTTCGAGGAATTCAATTCGTGTTTATAAGTGATTAATTTTGATAACCTTTGGGATGAGCTTCATTTGAAATTTTCTTTGGTCGAAATTCTTGTCATGTGGAGTTATTTAAGTATTTTAGAACAAAGAATTTTAAATAATTGTAGTTTCTCCTGAATTGGAGAGTGATCGATTGATTTAATAGGCAAACATATATCTGCGAGAGCCAGGCCTAAGTTTGGTCTTTACTAGCTTACTAGCGAACAGAAAATTTGCTCTTTAACTATCAACGGCACAATAAAAAATGGACCAAGTGACCAACTTGAACAGCAAGACATGGAAATTTGATGCTTTCTTGGAGATTGCAGCTTCGATCTTCCTGATCGAGGTCAGGCGATGATCGATCTCGATCAGCTCAGGCCTCCTAGAACTCCGACCGAAGTTTTCACCCCCCAAAAATCTCCTAACCTGAACTTGGGTTCAGGCAGGATTCCAATAATCCCTGGAAGTGAAAAAAATCAAAATCTTGCAAGTACGTTCGCAGATTTGTTTTGTAAATTAATGATAATAGGATTTCGATCATAATTTGTTTACTGAAATTTAAATATTTCCGTATTTTGGAATAAATTGTGTAACCCATAACAATATTTCAGAAATATTTCGTTTAAAAAAATTCCATAGTTACGTTTCACGAGTTACACGAGATGCACTACATGTTATGGTCTACCAGCTACAGCAATTAGAGGTTCTAGCTAGGACGTGGGACTCACACTCAATTAACAAGACAAATGCCAGGACCGCCGATTTAACACACTTATATTTCAGAGGCCGTACTTTCAAAACTCGCCTAAGTGCACGTAGCGGTCTAAGTACGCACAGCAGCGATTTCTCGTCTCTGATTGGTGGGTTTAGATTGAGAGGCCCTCGGTGATTGGCTGACGGAGTTACCAACTCTTAAATATTTTTGATGGTACGGCCCCACACATTCAATGTGGCCGGATGCAGTGGTTGCTATCCCAATCTAAACGTTGATGACCAATTCTGTTGCAGAATAATTTTTGTATCAAGATAACACATTGCATAAGGATAAGTTACTTTTTAGTGGCAGAGATGGACTTATTTTAGTGTAGATCTGCTAGAAGCGAAAAATTGCTTTAAAATTTGATCGAGTTTGTTGGAGTCTCATATCTATGGCGACGAAATTCCTAAATAGAAATTTAGGCGATGCGACTCCATTTCCTAAGCGCGATAGATATATTGTCCATATTTAGTGTGGTCCCCATCACCTTCGCTTCTTGAACCGCTCTACGATGATTTTTAAAAGCCTTAATTTCGTTTACGCATGAAATCCTGCGTACCCCGCAACAGCTTTTCACTTCCAGCCGAAATCCAAGTCACGGAAAAACAAATTATAGCTAAAAAATAAATTAAAATGTTATAAACGCAATGAAGGAAACTATTACGTTGATAAGTCTCTTTAATTTACTAAGTATCAGAGAGGCATAGAGAGCACAGCAACTATTTAATAGGAGTAACATATTTAACCTGAAGTAACTATATTCCTACCAGATCTATTCTAGCGAACAAAATTCCTCGACAAACACGAGAAGAAGCCTTGATCTATCAATGAAGAATGGAATATACTATTTAAAACTCACTAATGATATCTAATTAACTACATCGCAATACGTCTCAAGAAACTTCAGAGCTCCAAGAACAAGATTAGCGACAACATTATACTTGGCCTTGCGAATAATTCATCAATTCTGCATCCGAAAATCATTACAGAAGTCTGCTTCAAACAATCGCATAAAATATTTGCTTTTCTGTCTTTTCTGCTCTTTCGGGAAATTGAAGACAATCAAACTTTAAATCCGGCCCCAAATAGTCAGTTAGGCGTCGTTGAAAAGCTTTATTCGAAATCAGCGAAATTATAATCACATTTTGTACTTCATAACACTAACACACTGTGAAAAAACTTTTCGGGGTTTCAATCTGAAGAGATTTTGTTAGTCGAGATCATAAGAGTTACATGCATCAAAGTTATCCCTGCTCCACAACGAGGTCCGAACGACACGTAATCAATTGGTTACAACTGCAAGGCCGCGTGCAAGTTAATCACTCCAAGTTGGTCGTAAGTTTGATGATGAGGAGTAGTGCTAGGAGTAGGGTGACCTAGACACACTGCAGCCACACCTGAATTCAAATTACCTGCAGGGTAATGGAAACCGAAGCTAGGGTAACTTGAGAAACCGCGACCTGCGTATGCCGCATACGCTGCAGCTTGTAGACCTGTGAAGTCAGTTCAAAACATGGAGAAGAACGAAAGGTTAATTAGGTGACATATTTTAGGAATTGTTCACTAAGATATCCGTAATATATAACTATGGTAATAGTAAGAATATATATCTTAATCTAGTGGCACTCGCTGAGAATTTGAATGGATAATAACGGCCTACAAAATTGAAGCGCTAAAACCACGAAAGTTTCTTGAACGGCGCTACTGCCTAAATTGATACAATTATCGACTGCAATTGTTTCAACTGAAATGGATGATGTGCTTGATTTCTAATCTCGGATAGATATGCGATGATGGGCTTCAATAACTTCACTATAGTCAAAATGTTAACAATATAAGCAAAACATAAAACATTGAAGTGAAAGACACGTTTGGTGTCGTGAACTTTGCTGTTAAAATCGCTAAAATATTAAGAAGCTGCACTACTGTCAAAAATATCAATTCTAGGATCTATATCATATATGTAGAGACTAGTCATGCATTCCAAATAATCAATTCACCTAACACATATTTCATCAAAATATTGATCCAAATTATGACAAAAGATACAAGTTGCTATTGTAGAATAGATAAGCATGATGCTAAGACTAAGGAGAAGTAGAGGCATGCAATTTAATCCGTTTTGTTTGAAGCAGCAAATTCAAGTGAGAGAAAATAAGGCTTATATTGCATACCACTAACTTCTCTCGAGGTATAAATGTAAGTAATACCACCGGCAACCACTTCACACTATACAACTACGAGAACAAAGAGTGCTGATTGCTTCTCTACTAAACCAATAGCTCAAACTTAGCTAAAAAAGGGGTGTTCAATTAAGAGCATCTACAGCATCAATATGAATGCAACATAAATAAGGGAAAATGCTTGAATACTTTGGTTCCTCGGGAGAAGCTGGTTAGATTTTTATTACTGTAGAGGGAACAAAATTGATGATATTTACAATAATATTGATAATACGTGTGTCAAGTTGGTGGCCGAGGTAGAATTTGGTTGGCTTACCGAGACAACTTCTGACAAAGCTCAAGAAAGATAAAATTCATTACGGGAAGCAAATTAAATAAACACGAAACAATGATCAACCTGCATGGCTTTTGACCTCCTGAGTCCACGAACAAAAATATCAGGTGCGCACGTTCAATTTTAGTGAATCTCTTCCTTCTCGCCATCTTCCACCAACTCTTTTGATTTTAGTTCGATGAAAGACACCCACAAATAGAACAGAATGTTTAAGGCAGAGCAGAGAAAAGCAAGAAAAGTGTATTCAGGAGAAAGACTTCATCTCATTCACTTGATGAATGAAAACATAAATTCTCAAGATATTCAAGGAATTGTCAAAGTTTCGTTAAAATTTTGAACCCACGTGTGAAACTTGATATAGATAACATATCGAAAAATATGACATATAATTATACCAAAATTACTTCGGAAAATACCAACACAACGTGAAAGAATTTTATGCGAAGGCATCATACGAAATCAAGATAAAAAAAAAGACAGAAAAAATGAGCAGAGAGGCAGAAAGAGAACGCAGTCAACATTGAACACGAGAGCAAATCTATTTATCTACGGTGCATATCTACATCATATATGCCGGCATCGCGTGCCTCAAATGAGAGTAGATTCAAGAAGAGCTGTGGTACACTGACGCTACCAATAACAAAGAGCCACGAATCAAATTAAATTTTGAAGCATAGATTAAGATGCCTACAAATGCAAAAGCCGTGAGCAGGTATGCCTAAATTTAGATAGTCGGTAGAAGCAAAATATGAGCATTGCATCACCAAAGCCAGCACAATTAAGAAGATGTGTATTGTAGCCTTTATATACCAGGAAGATACGAGGCAATGCTCAGGGATCTGCTATAATAAATTTCACGGAAGCGAGAAATATGGTAAGGAGGTGTATCGAAGTACGAGAAGTGAATATGATGCCAAAGGACCTTTCCCCGCAATAATTTCAATATCGCATTCAAAGAAATAGCATTCATTCAAATAGCATTCAAAGATACACACAAAAACTGAAAATGAGAAAATAAATGCCCAATAATTCTCAAAATGAAACAGGACTTCGTTACTTCAACCACGAAATTGAGGTGATAGTGAGACACATTAACGAGTGTTAGAGCTACAGGTATGAGTAAGGAATATGAACTTAAGTAATAAGAGATACACTGAACTGAAAAACAAAGAAGCCATTATGAGGACGGGTGATGAGTGCACAAGTTAGCGAAAGCAGTAAGCGGAAAGAGTACAAATGTTCTGTAAAAATTCATTGAGAAGGGGAGACGCTTATGACGAACGATGTTTTTGGCTAAAAAGAGAAGTCAGGAGCAAGCTATTTATTATGCGGACGGAAATTCTTTCTTTGTGTTGCATGCGTGCCCTTGGAAATTGTTATGGCAAGATAGACCTGAAGGTATGACTTGCCAGGTACAAGGCTTCCCCTCTCGTTAGAGTTCAGCGCAGATGAGAGTTTAGAACGAGATTGGATCGAACGTACATAGAACCAACGAGGCTCGTATTTTTACAGGTCACAGAAGTTGTACAGTGTTTCGTGCTAAGAAATATACTGTATAAGCTAGAATACCTTTCCAGTTCATAGAAACCCTAAATTAAAACCACAAAGCTCCGAAAGAAAGAGTTTGATCTATTTAGGTTATACGGAGAAAAGTTAACAGTTCTGCTTCGTCAGAAGTTAACAAGGTTTGCCAATGGAAAAAAAATTCAAATACATACCGTCAGGGAGTGCTCCCAGCGACCATACTAGATCTAGAACATTTGAGAAAAGAGAAAAAGAACTAGATCAGATACCTGATCATTGAGGTCATCAAAGTATATGGTTATCATCTTCTACTTCTTATCATTGATGGTACATAAAAAGGTTTGGATGCCCATGTAGGTGAAGCCACGTTGCCAGTCTACTAAAGTTTTACGACTGAGCTACCAACATCTACTTGACATTTTACTGAAGCAAAAATATAGGTAGTTTAGTACTATGGTTACGAATTTCTCATGCTTTAGACCGAATGTGGTCACCGGGAGCGGTCGAGTCAAAGCTTGCGAGTTATGCCAGCATCAGCCAATGGGACCGGAGAGGCGAGTCGGCTCCTGTGTTTTTCATTCATTTCAAGACTTGTTCAGCCTTCAAAACCATATGAGAGAGTTTCCGATAAAACTTCGTACGAAAATCAATTCATCAAATGATTAAGCGAATAAAATTAAAATTTCCAATGAAGTTGAAAACCAAGCAAAATGACGCATTCAAAATTTTTTTATGAACTGATTTTATTAGATTTCAAAGTTATCTTTTAGTCTTCAATTCCATAAAAGAAAACCGTTCCATGAGTGATCTACTCTGCATCTAGAAAGGATTTAGATTTTTTCTAGTCATTCACTATACTGTAATATAATCGACTACAAAGGAAAGGGAGGGAGCTATGCTAAAGACAAACAGCGTGTATCGCTCCAAGTTATGTTTATTCTATGAACAGATATAATACAAGGCTCGGCGCCTGGCAAGCTACGGCATACAGGCTACCATTGGCACATGACGACCATGAACGAGAACATACAATTTCTTAAATAGGTTCCATTTTAATACGGATAATCCCAACCAATTACAGGCCTGAATTACATGTATGATGCATTTATCCTCCAACTGTTTTCCTTCATAGGTTGCTTGTAATTTAGAAGTGATTTTAATATGAATCATTTCAAAGCCAGTTGCACTTTTGCGCCCACTCCATAGTTTCCAGCTTTCTTGTCTATGCATAAATGGCTGTAGACAATAGTAAAATTCTTAACTATTATTCTTAGACCATCATTGCGCATCGAAGCACTTTATTACAAGGAGCCTCTTCCAAAACAGTTATTTAATTGGGTATTCGAAAAATATAGGATCTAGACTATCATGAAAAAAATATTGATCGTGAGCGATCGAAGAAACTCGTCAGCTTCGTCTATTATGAAATTTACATCTGATTGCTTTCCTACGCATATATTGATCGATTAAGTACAATATGGAAGTCATTTATTGCTTTTATCAAACTATAGATTAGCAGAAGCAGCGAAATATCGACAGACTCAGCGAGCATCAAGCAGTGGATCGCTTGTTCCGAGGTGGAACCTGAATGTGAGATTTGAAAATTTTCCCTATGTTTCGGAAACAGAACACGATTTTCAACCCAACCTTGAGAGCATGATAACAAGTCATCACTTTCATCGACTTCTCACGATAAATCAACGATTATCTACAGTCAAACAAGAGAAAAGTTTAAAGTTCCAAGTTTGAGTTCAGGAACATTCGATATGTATTGATTGCATCCCACAAAATCCACTTGAACTTGGAAACATGATGAGACTAAACCACGAGCCATTGCCTGCACTTAATATGCATCAGATTTTTCGATACAAATTCAGAATGAGTTCGAGGTTGAGAATTTGAACTGCAACAACTGCACACTTAACGATACACATTACAACGACGCCTGAACAGATAACATGCTCACGACAGCGTGGATATAGCGAGCGCGCTGTGCCGGATCATCCATGGCTTTTTCGGATGTACGGAAGAAGATCAACAACGAGGACGTTCAGTTAACAATGTAGGAATGAATATTTTTAAGGTTTTACCAGGCTAATGTGACGCATGTCGGAACAGAGGAGAAGCTTCGTAGTAAGGTAGTTTGAAGAGCGTCTTCCAGAACACAGGCATGTGGATCTATATATACAAATAAGGAGACAGCAAAACGCCGGTGAAAAGAAAGAGCCTCGCAAATAACGAATTTACGAACAGTACGTGATTCACAGAGTGTGATTAGATGGTATTCGTCAGTCAAGTCCAGACAAAAATAAACGATACATTCGGTACTTGCACACCGCAGTTAAACTATTTAACGTACGACACAGTTATTGCTATAGCGCCAGCTGCGATGTCTACTGCACGCTGTCTAAACTAATAGACTATCACGTTTCACTTGCTAACACTCAATAAATTAAATTTTCGTCCTATACTCTAACAACTATACCGCTACAAATATTTGGATATTTAACGCTACGTAATAAATCCACTCAATAACTTGAAATCAACAAAAAACTTAATTTCAGGAGGGAATTCATTTCGTTACACTCGCAAACGCAAGTTCAAAAATCCAGTGTTTGAATTAATAAATAACGACGCAGCGATAAATAGGGTAGTCCATAACTGAGAACTTGATCGCTTCCTCTCAAATTTTGATTCGAGTTTGATCTGCATTTCAGTGCTCTTAGAAACGAGCACTTCTACAACTGGATATTCCTGCCCTCGAGAAGAAAAGAGCAAATCTGTTCCCATAAAACAATAATCGGTTACTTGCACTAGTTTTAGTTAATATACATGAATTATTTCAAATTCTGTTCAAATTCTGTTCATTCTGATGAATAACTGGGCATTTGCAGCAGAACAGAAACAAAATTTTAACAGTGCAAAATTCCAACGACTAGCTAAAATTTTGGGATGTTTCTTAGAATAGAAAATTCTCTACTTTAGTGGCATGAATAGAATTGAAGTCTTCGAAAATACCAAACGGGAAGATGACTATATAATTAAAAGGACACTTGACTGTGGATTGAACTAACTGCTATATTGATCTTCGAAGGAAATCATTTGAGCGAAGTTTCTGTCAACTTTATAAAGTTGAAGTTTAAATTGACGAAAAAGAAACGGAAGTAGAGTGTGACACCTCCATGAATCAGTGCGATAAGCAAGATTGATGTTTAACTTATAGTCTTTCACCGAGGTCTGCATTTCTAAACATTCTCATCACGATCGTAAGATTTACGATGGTCTGAAATACAATATTTCTTGCCTACAATCGTCGGGCATTATTTAAAATCAGTCTAATGAATTAACGATATCGCGATTGCTTTGAATAAGATTTGCTTTGTACTAGGGAACAGCTGATTGATTTGAGAAGACGGCAACGCAAGCACCGCATTGGCTGATGAGGCTGCGCCTATATACATACGTCACCACAGCGCTAGAGATAGTTTTTCTGTTGGAGCTAATACATCTCTACGTACGGATAATGGGTACAAAGGCCGAAAACTGATGCTCATGAGAATGTAGCAAAAACTAAATAAAAAATTCTATTGATATGAGAACTACTTAGCTATCGATGTAAAATAGCTTTGCGAAGAGGCCCCATATCTGTGAAGAATGTGCCTGTTGAGTAACAGTGAGAAGAAAGGGTGTAATGCTAGAGCTAGCTAAGGCTACAGCATGTGAACACTATGGAGTACGGCGTAGGTTATTATCCGGGGTCAAGCAAAAAAATAATAATATAAAATGACAACTAATTAAAACAAATCAATTGGAGGGATGAACAAATAGAAGACAATGTGAGATTATGAGTAGCAGCCTGAGCAACACATGAGTATGTATGTCACCATCTAAGCAATAATGAAACATTTCTGGTAACATTTTAGCTAGAGCGAGAATCAATGCACTACTTCCATGCTCACGAGGCTTCTGCGTAACTAACGAGATCCAGCTTCCGCATGCGCTATGAATATTTTCCGCACAATTTCGTGTTAAAAAAACTGTAATAGAATTGAACGAAATCTACGAACGCGGCCACTATATTCATGCAATCATTCAAGGAATTTTATGCAAACTGGAATATAAATACATTGACAACGATCGTATGACAAAAAATTTCCTGCTTTGCCTATAGAATAGTTATGCAATATTGAGAAAGTCAAGGACAAATGCGTCATTTCAATGTTTAATTGAACTCACTTTTTTCAACTTGGGGGCTCAAATAGTTAAAAGTTATTCATCAAGGGCGAGTTGCGGGAGTGAATCGCCACTCATTAAGACAGGGCCTAAAATTTGAGCAGATAATTTACGGTTATAGTTGTTCTGTTGTGGAAAAAGAATACAAATGGAAAAACTAGGGTATTAATCAAGACATCAGGTAAGTTACGAAACTATAGACTCTGCAATGAGTATTGACTGGAGATAATCCCCCGAGAAAGTTTTGTTTTGATTCTAAGCAGCAAACGGAAGCCCGGATATCGTCAGTGACAGAGACGCCCGTTATCGAGGCTTCAGAAAGACCGTAGCAGCGCCTTTTAAAGAGCTTAACTTTCTAGGCATAAAAAAAAACAATTCCATAGATAACTTCACCAGCACAAAGCTATCCAAACCTTTTTATGTTTAACATCTAAGAACGATAAGTATTAGTGGCCTTAACGTGAGAAATTCTATTTACACGATATTGTGAAGGGAGAGCAGAGCAATCAAATGGGCTCTCCAGAGGGAATTATCTGCCGCAGGAAGACATGTTCCTGCTAGCCTAAGAAATCAGATATTCAACTATTGCATAGTCTTTGGAAAGAAATTCCTTTAGTGAGAGCGTTGTTCATCGAAAGCTATGTAAAAATACAGATGCATAGACACATTTGTATAGATACACATCAACGAACATACTCACATGCTAACCTAACAAACATATTCTAACCATTATACTTAAATTACACTTTCACAAGACTTACAATTTATTCACTCAAAAAACAAAAAGAACTGGGCCCACAACTGAGAAAAGGAGTTCAGACATCCAGCTCCTTGAAAATAGTCTGAAGTCCTACATGAGCTCTTAATAGCGAGCTCTTTAAACAATCTCTTTATGAAAGCTCCATTCTTTCATTTTTTAATAATTAGCGCACGCTCTCACTTTGTGGCTCATGTTTCCACGCCACCAAACTTCACAGAATTAATTAGCGTCGAAATTAAAGAAAAGGAACAAAGTTTAGTCGTGACTAGAAGATGGGAGATTTTTAGAGACTGATAAGATAAGAGCGAAGTCCGGGAGCTTTGGTTTCTCTTTGGTGACGAACCGAGTACAATCCTACGTGAAAATTGTCTTAAGCGAAAACGCGACTCTCTACTTTCTTTACTCTAGCACTCAACAACGTCTCTTTGAGAGTCTTAATTAGAGAACTACAATTTTATCGCGCATTTAGAGGGCCACGGGCAAGTAGCCTCATCTCCCCGTTCATTTCTGAGGCTCCGGGAGCGGCAAGAAAAAGTCATCCGTTCACAGCCCCACTGGAATGGGGTAGGTTGGGACAGTGAGACCTTGCACCCCAAGAAGGGTTGAAACTGAGTACCCCAGAGAGTTGGTGGTGTTGGTGGCTGGTTGGGAGGTAAATGAAGCGACACGTTTGCAGCCACTCAAATCGATGGCGTTATGATCAATGCCATAGACTGCGCCATACCCCGGTAATCCTGCCATCATATTTGCTCCCATGTGTGTGAGAGATGCATTGAGGCAGCCTCCTGGGGTGTGAGTAACCTGAGGCAAGGTTGTGAGTGAGGGTAGCGCACCGGCACTCGAGGGCAGAGAGTATGGTGCGTAGCGGTACGTAGCAAGGGGAGGCACCGCTGAGAGCATCACTAACTCACCATAGCCAGCTCGGCCTGTAGCCCTACCACGGCCCACTGTTGTAGGAAGCATCACTTCCTTGGGCTGCGCTTTTTTGCATTCCACCTGTGGCGAGACACGCATTCAAACATGCAACGTGAGTACAAGCTTGATATCCGTCACGGCTATTAGAGACAAGGAAAATAATTACATTGATCGTGAAAATACAATGAAGCCTGAAAAGAAAAAGTTATTTGTTTGACCGATGTAGTGAAGCTCACAAACAATTGCTCAATTAAAATGAAGCCAAATAACGGAAATTATTAAATTTATTCGATTACATGAACCTACTAACAGGTACTAATAGGAACTGTCATGAATTATACCGACTTAAGAACGATTAATACGAAAAAACCCTTAAGATGTGTAGCATTCATCGTTTGAATATACGTAACATTTTTGATAAACAAATTATTTAAAATTAATAAATTAATCGCATTAACTATCGAATGTGGACACAATCCTCAGGCAAATGATTTTAGGAGTATTAAGATTAAAATCTTGTGAACAAATTTTAGAAGAAAATTTTGTTGGAAAAGACTAAATTGTTAGCAACACGTGCGAAAAGTAACTTGAATCTCAGGATCAAATACCGTAGACTTTAGAACACACAGTTGAACTTTTTACCTAGCCATGCATTCGTGATAATAAAAAGTGTTGTGAATCAGTGAAAACTCGAAGTGAAAGTGCCTGATATTGCAGATGAATTAAGACATAATATTTTCTTCTATTCGAGCAACATTATTAATTATCAGAAATAAATCGTTTCCTTACCATTTTATTGTTGATTTCATGGAAGTGAATCTCACAGACCTTGTCGACCACATCCTCACTCTCGAACGTGACGAAGCCAAAACCTGTGTAAGAAACAAATCAGGATATGAAAATTGTATAAATATATGTTATTATTTCTTATATATTATTAATATGAGAATCATAGTTAGAAATAGAAATTTCTGTTAATTCTTAATTTCGTGTAAGAGAAAGTTATATATCCCGCTATCCCGAATCCGACTAGAAGACATTTTACGTCTTTTGAATTCAATTGATATTTAAATAAATTTAAAAATAAAGTTCTAATTTTTTATTCGAAATTTGTGATTTTGGTCATAAGTAGACGAAAAGGATTCATTAATGTTAGTAAAAGGCACGAAATAAAAGCCTCCGAAACAGCGCCAGATAAACCTGGTGGAATAGAGTTACATAAAATTTACAGACATCTTACTGGTAATATAGATAATTTCTATCAAACTACATCACTATATCCTGCATTGTATGTTGGGTTAACTTGATCTCTAATGATCGAAAGGATTAATGTGAAAAATAATCTCGCGCTAAAGTTAGCCGTCACAAATAAGCGATATTTAATCACCGGATTTCATGTCACCAATGTAATAATTTTTATAGCGACATAAAAAAACAAACAAAAGCGCCATTACAAAGCCTTGCAATTAAAGTCAGGCCACCGACTGCAGGCCTCAGCTCCCTTCAGATTAACAGAAAACGGGGGCTCCGAGAACAACTTTTGAGGTAGACTGTGTTAATAGAGTCACAGATTTCGAACAATTATGGAAAATCAGGAGTTGGCCTTTAATTATGAAACATTAATTTTGCACATTTCTTGTTTGACTTTAACAAAACAAAGGCCGTGGTGCCTTTTCTTTCGTCACAAATGTGGCATTATAGGACAAATTAAAAGTATTAATTCATTTTCTCATATTCTTTAACCATTCAAACTCGCCAGGAAAATAACTTATGTTTCTATTTATAAGCTTACACACGAAATTGATCTGAAATGCCACGGAAACATTAAAAACAATAATCAGATTCATCAACAACAACAACTGAAAAAATATTCCTGAATTTTGTAAGTCAATCAGATAAGGATATTCATGGATTACTCATGGAGAAATGGATAAATCACGGCATTCGTGGATTTTTTTGGATGCAGTCCAGAGACTTTTTGCGCTTGAGAAGAAATTAAAAACAGCCTACAACGATGAAGAACCACACAACCTAACAACAAGAAGTGTGGAAGATGAGAAAATGCAGCGTAAATTGATAAAAAGGAAAATTTTCGGTTAGAGTAACGTAGTTAAAAAATTAAATTTCATCAAATCAAATCATATATTTTCAAGAAATGCATGATTCTAGAAACATATTGATATTTTCTGACAAGTACTCGTAGTAATGCGAGGGATATGCAGATCAGTGAGAGGAAAATTCAATAGATTTAAACTATTAAATGTCCCATGTGGAGAAAACTAAGAACATTTAGAAGGAAGAATGTTTTGAACGGCATGATGATAGACTGATTCATCGAACTTGTATAAATACAATCGATAATACTTTAAATTAATTAAAAAATTTCAGTGCGTGCAAATCACGCTTGTTTAACATTTTTCTGAAAACTTGATACATTTTTAGAAATACAATCATCGATACTGTAAGTAAATTAGAAAAGCTCAAAGCGTAAAATTTACGCAAGTAAAATAAATTTTTTTGGGAAACTCGTCAACATTTCCCGATGTGAAGTGGAGACGCTTGTGGGATGACGGGCTGAGGTCAGGCCATTTGATGACCGGCAGGAGCAGTGAAGCGTAAGCAATCAATCGCACATTGCGAGCAGCTGCCTGGCCTAAAAAAGTTCATCGGTGGAGGCCGACATTTTTGGTTTGTTCAGACGCAGGTGGCAGAATTCGACGGCGTGGTAATCAGATCCAGACTCCCGCGGTGGCGTGTTTTGCAATAAGGCCGTGCCATGTCCGTGCATCCTAAATGCGGTTGGACCAAATAGAGGCAATGCCGGCCTGGTGGTAATGATTTCATTATGGCTTTGTCCCCACACAAGTGCGACCAATCAGTCCACGGCCGAGTCTGATGACGTCTTTTGATCATTTCAAAAGTGATGAAAAAGTATTGATTTCTGGACGCTCTGTTACGCAAGCCTGAGCATGACGCTCGCGGTCTCTGAGAAATGCACTCTTAGCCGCAATAGAAGTTCCAATACATTGAATCAAGCAATCCAATACATTGAACTACTCAAATTTGCAAAAGACTACAATTAAATGTTATTTTCCCAACAAATGATGGTCGCAGATTGTGTAATGAAAGTCATTCAATTCCCATGCTCCGCAAAAATGCAGAATCGCACTGATTATCTCGTGTTTCCTGATTAATGACAACACGTCAAACTTGTAACGAATTCTAGTGCATCTCACGTCCGGCGCTCCTCATTAGTGTTAATGCCTCTCAATCGGGAACGGAGCTCGCTCACAATTGCCTCTTTATGCGTAAAATAATGCAAATGATGAATACATTTCTCCGAGAGAAACTAGGATACGCGTCTCTGGAAGAAACAAAAACCAAGACGCAGCAGCAACGCTACTGGTCTCAGCGTGCATTTGCTCAATGACGATGTTGTTGTTTTCTCAACGTGGCGCTGGGATACGAGGAAATTCATGATTTTTCAGGGACGGCAGCGAGACTAGACTGAGAACGTGACCTGCATGTGGATCATTTGACGAGCTTTAATCTGTAGCCTGACCTCCTTTCATTGTTCTGGTTATTGGTTCATTTCACAAGGCGGAATTCGGGTTTAATTTCAGCAGAATTCGTAAAATGAGCTTTCTGAACTAGTGCTTACCCCTTAAAGTAACCGCAAAAATGATTGCTCATGAAACCTGTATTTTTTTCTAATTAGCTCATTTTTACACCATAGCTTCATTATCAGTTTTCCTCGATCATGACTCTCCCTTTCACATGCCAGTGTGAGTCCATCTTAAAATAGTGTAAAATCAAGTCACCTACCATTGCCCCGGTCGAAAAAAAGAAGCACAAGATTGATGGACCAGGATTTTCACGCGCCAGAATTAAAAAATAAAATAAAATTTTGTTGGCTCTGGGTTAGAAATAGTTTTTGGTAATGAAGCTTATATGATACAAGGATAGGAACAAAAATTATATGACCAATGATACTGATAATATCGATTTAAAATTAAAATGCAAGCACAAAGGAAACGATGTGTATGAAAATGTGGTGGTAAGAAACTGGAACGATATCGAAGCGGTATGAATTCTGCTCGCTTGGAAAAAATAAAATGCTGCTGCTGCGGTATTTTTGTCGTCAAAAAGCTAGACTGTTTACATATTTTTATAACCCAGTTTACACTAAAATTTATAGACTCCAGAAATGAGACACTGTCGTCAATAATCTTGTAAAAGAAAGGTTTTCAAAAATACATGGCAATAGAGGCGCATGAAAATGGCCAAACATTAAAACTAAGTCAGAACTTCGCAGCTCCCAACGATGTGAGGATTCAGGATCAGAAATATCCTCATTAGATGCCTAAATAATATTGAAACTTTGAAATTAGATAGGATTGGCAATGCCCGCCAGAGTGACGTTATACAAGCAAGTATCACTGTACAGTTGCGAGCAGAAGTCGCGATAAGGCCAAAGAACTTGCAAGACGACACAAAATATCGATGAAAGCAAAAGAGGCGAAGTTAAGAGCTGCTGCAGGATTTAGAGGAGCTATAAAAGAAAAGAATCACAGGGGCATCGAGGATGGCTGTTTCAAAAGGACCGATAAAGAGGTCGATATCAGCTGCTTTATGGACGCACTTGGAGGGCAGCGTTGTAAGCCTACGACCAGGCAGGCATTGGACGAGCCTACACTTATCCTGCTTAGCTTGCTTAGCTTTTATGTGTGCCTACGAGGCGAATTAGAAGTACACTTATCCTGCTTAGCTTTAATGCGTGCCTACGCGTATACGAGGTGAATTAGAATTACACTTATCCTGCTTAGCTTTTATGTGCCTACGAGGCGAATTAGAACTACACTTATCCTGCTTAGCTTTTATGCGTGCCTACGAGGTGAATTAGAACTACACTAATCCTGCTTAGCTTTTATGCGTGCCTACGAGGCGAATTAGAACTACACTTATCCTGCTTAGCTTTTATGTGCCTACGAGGCGAATTAGAACTACACTTATCCTGCTTAGCTTTTATGTGTGACTAAAAATCTTAAATACTCTATTATTGACTGAGTTTGCATATCTTCGTAGTTTAAAAGAATGGTTTAACAATGAGGTCACAATGAAATGAATGTTGAATATTCTATGGTATTAATAAAATAATGTTTATGCGAAAGTCATGAAAGATAGAAAATGAAAGATAGAACATGAGCACTGGATAAAAAATTATATCATTGTTTGAAGCTAAAAAGTTCAAGTGTAAACGTATATTGACACAAAAAAATACCACGTAAATTAACCGTACATTGATTAAAATATGGGAAATTTATTTAAACTTTTCTCCGCTGTTAGATTCTAGTATAAATTGCGCTTTAAGAAAATAAATAATATGAATATTAGTGTAATGTAACTGTCGTCAAGTCGTCTATAAGACATTCCCTAAAAAGTAATTGATAAACATCATAACAAAATTCTTTTTGTTATTAATTGCACATCGGCTGCAATTCTTTCCGAATGCCGCAGTTTTTAGAGCAAGCTGCATTTTCATTTGGGCAGATTTAGCAAACTTGGACAATAGCAAAGTTTACGTGACTGTGATAACAAAGCTGACCTTATCTAGCTTGAGAAATGCACCCGAAGTTTCATCTAACTTTTACCAAAAATACAGTTGCGGCCACAGCGTCACATGAATGTAAAACTAACCAGCGTTCCAAATAGAAATCGCATTGATGAAGTGAGCGAATAATTTTAATTTAATTGTGGATTAGACAATTGAAATTAATTTATTGAATCGAGACGAACATTGATTTCGAGCTGAATTGGTTAAGATTTAGTCTCTGTTCTACTCATTGTATCACGATTGCGCGAATGTGGAAAT